GTTCCCAGCTGCTCACACTGGCGGGGAACGACGGGGATAGTTCTACCACGGCTGGGTTTTGTTGGAGAAGCTGAGTGAAAAGAGAGACACAGGTAATTTCCAGGGAGTGAATACAAGGATCTTCCAGAGACTCTAAGCCGGGCAAGGAAAGGAGAGAACTCAGGCGGGAGGAATGTGTTCTTAAATAGTGTCAGTATTCATCCTAACTCCTTTTAAATGTTTCTAAAAGGTCACAAAACAGGAACTGAAAGACGGCCTCAGTGTAAAATGTGTGGATTTTTATACGGAGCTTCATCTTGACAGGTATAAGATGGGGAAGGACGTTTTAATCTAAGATTTCTCCGACTTGTGAGAGGGGAGCTGAGTTAGGGCTGGGAACTGCAAAGAGGCTGAGGTTCTGAATAAGCTAAAAAAGAAAATGAGGCTGTCATAGTTGTGTGGCTGTTGGCAGAAGGCGTGAGACTCTTTGTTCAGGCGCAGAGGCCCATCTTGCTTGAGACAGAGCAGGTGACAGGATCAGAATGCATGTGGGTTCCTTTCTTTGGCTCCTCAAGTCTAACAAGAGTGATAAGGTGGCCGGGTGGTGGTGGCACACGCCTTAACTCCCAGCACTCGGGAGGCAGAGGCAGGCGGATCTCTGTGAGTTCGAGGCCAGCCTGGGCTACAGAGTGAGTTCTAGGAAAAGTGCAAAGCTACACAGAAAAACCCTGTCTCGAAAAACAAAACAAAACAAAACAAAAAAAAAAAAAAGAATAACAAGGTGTGCTGAAGTGGATGCTTCAGACTTCAGACATGGGGACAGGGTGTTAAGAGACTGATTGAGACCTAGAACAGACCTGGAACCTGAGAGACTCGGAACCTGAACTTTCTGACCAGGCCCTGTGGTCAGTGGCAGAAGAGCGAGTCCCTCCCGCTGACCTCTGCCTGTGAGCTAGCAGTTGACCTGACGCCATACAGTGGTCATCTTGACTTGTGACTGAGAACCAGGATATAGATGTCTCCGAGTCTGACACACTCAGAGCCAGCAAGAGTGAGGCCCTGAGTGAGCTAAGGTTCCAGGTATTTTCAAATGGAAGAAGTAATCTATGAATGGATTTAATATTTCTTGCTTTAATAATTTATCCTAAGCTGTGAAACATACTCCTTTACATATACCTTTTTAATACATATTTTCAAAACTATCCCTTAAACTGTCAGTAAAAATTTGTTAGACTGTTTCTGAAAAAAATAAAATCACCCCCTTGACCACAGTCTCTCCTCTCCTCATCTGGTTAGATTCCATGGGAGACCCTTGTATTCACTCCCTGAAAATCACCTATACCTCTATATTTACTCAACTCCAACAAACCCCCAACCATGGCAGGATGTCCTGACACTTCACCTGCTTGGAAATAGAACAGAATAATGCGATGCTGTATTACAAACGTATTCTGATTGATTTGAACTTTATTAAAATCAGTTGTCATTCCCGACAGGTGTTTGAGTGTCGGGGAACTCACAATCTGATCCATTTTCTCCTTTCTTCCCCTAGATTTTTTTTTCCTATGGCAGAGGTGAAAGAGAAGGAGATGCACACAGCAGCTCAGATGTATCAAAACCAGGCAGACTAAACAGAAATGAGCTTTATTTTTAAATAAAAAACCTCTTGGTCTTGTTAGGAGCACTGGAAAACACCATAAAAACGGCCACAAAATCTCTAACGTTCTATAAAAATACCACAATGCTCAAAAGGAAAACCGACCATAATCTCCTCTCTTTTTTAATCATGCCAGTTATGGGCTTTATTAAGAGAAATCAAGACAGGACAGTGACATTGGAGCACGAATTTGATACATAATAATGAAAGACTAAATGCTTGTTCAATTGTTAATATTTCTGTCTGAATAATAATGACTAGTTAGTGATTTCCTGTGGTGTTTCTCTAATTATGTAAAAGCAGTATGTTTCTAGTGAAATCTGCATTTAAGTGACTTCCTTTTTTGAGCTTGAAAACTTTATTTTTTAATGTATTCTTTGAGAATTTCATACATTATACAACAAGATGTGATAAGATCCAACCTCCCCATCTTCCCCGACCAGTTCCTCCTGAGCCCTCCCAATATCACTCCCAGCTTCCTGTCCTTTTTGTTTGTTTGTTTGTTTGTTTGTTTAATTTAAATAACCCATTAAGTCCAATTAGTGCTGCCCATATGTGCAAGGGTATGGGACATGGAACATAGGCAACTTGCCAGTAGCCATCCCCTCTCCCACCCTCTGCAAAAAAACCAAGAATGATGCTCTCTCCCTGAGTAACTGCCATGTACCAATATCCCAATCTATAGTTGGGGATAGGACCTGATGAGAGCCTCCCTATCCGAAGTACAACTTCCTGTCCTCATCCCCTGGCCAGCTGACATCTGCTGAACCCGTCAACAGCTTACCTTAGAACATCCACATTTGCTTAGAGCCTGGCACTAGAGGGGAGAGAAATGTTGTCTGAGTTTCAGCTGTTTTTAATTATCTGTCACTTCGTGACAGGCTCACTTGGTTCTCTGCTTTTCCTAGAATGAGGCAGAAGCGTTGTCCTTGGGAGTTGACGACCCTTTGGTGGGGTCTATCCTACAGCTACAGGTCTTTGTGTCACTCTCTCTGTGTGTCTGGTTTATGCTCAAGTATCTCTAGTCACCCTAAAATCAATCCTCCCAGCTTATCTCCCTTGCCTGCTTTATTTTCCCAGATAGTGGACCTTCCGACATTGCATATTATTTATTCATTTTATTTATGCTATAAAAAGTACATTCCAGTTCCTTGCAGAAGCCAGAGTGTAGAATGCCTAGCAGAAAAGATCTCAGTATATGAATGGCAGACGGGGCAGACATCTTCCTATAATAAAGAAGAACTGCATGGCCCACAAAGATAGCTCACTGAGTAAAGGGGCTGACCCCCAAACCTGATGACTTCATTTCAAGCCCTGGGGCTCACATGGTGGAAGGAGAGAACTGATGCCCCCGGGTTGTTCTCTGACCTTCACCCAGGTGCAGTGGCATGTGCCCACCCCCACCAATCAGATGAATACACATAAAACAAATAAATAAAATGTCATAAAAAGGTTTTTAAGACAAAGCAAACCCAAGGGCTGTTGTGCTTCACAACTCAGACGCATTGTAGCGTTGTTTTGGACAGTAGGTTTAGTTTTGGAATAGCCTAAGAAAACACCAGCATGCTGCTGTCTTTTCCTGTATCATGTCCTCTCAAAGTCTACAAAGACAAGACATCCTGAAAAGGAACACTTCAATACAGGATGGGCTGAATGATCCTGAAACAGCCAGCTAGATGGCTCTACATCTCTGCTCAGAAGCACAGAACAAAACCTTTAGGAAGATGAAATTCTTTGACAGGTTGGGTGAAATCGGGAAAACAGTGGGGCCTGCCTGCGTCATAAGACTGAGACAAACTGAACAGATCTTGAAGATGGACATGTTTCACGCCCATACCTCCCATTCCAGCAGTCCCCAACTTTGGGTGACCAGCAGTACGTGAAAGGGGGCTGGCGTGGCTGAAGAACTGCTTTAAATTCATTTAATTTTAAGGAATTTGTGAGGCTAATGACTATCATATCAGAGAATGCTGGTCTATGCCCATGTCACCCAGCCAACCCAGTGTGCCTGGTTGTCACTCCGTCAACCATTGGAAATAGTCAATGGAAAATTCTAGAATGAAGCGATTTGTAAGCAATATTATGCAGCATTCTGTGTAGTGTGTTAAAATTAGTCCTGCCAGGAGAATGAACCATCATCTTCCCATCCAGTGAATCTACAGTGTTTTCCTGTCCTTGAGACACTCAGTATTCCCGTTACAATACTACAGTGCTTGTGTTCAAGACAGAAGGCCAACAGCAGCTAATGCTGTGTCTCGGTGTCTACAGAGTTCACCTCTGCTTAGCTGCTCTGTATCTGTGGACACTGTGTCCTCTCTCCCCATCTCAGGAAGATGGGAGAAAGGTCAGCTCAGCATGGCAAGACATTTTGAGAGGGCGCTCGTATTCACAGTTTTTATTCTAGCATATTGCTATGATGGTTCTATTTTATTAAAGGCTATTGCAAATCTCTAACTTATCAACCAAACCTCATCATAAGTATGTGGTACAGGAAAAACCTAGAATAGGTGAGAGTGTTCTATGTAGTTACTGTCCCTCCTGTGTAAGGTGGACCCTGCAAACGGGAGCGGACAGCATCTCTATGACTCAATGTGAGTCAGCTAAAGATACTCACAATATTTCCATTTCTGTTCAGGAAAACATTTCAAGAACTAAAATCAAAGACCAAGCCTATGCATACATATAGCATTTGGAAGCGTCTTCATTTCAGAAGTCTGGAATTTTCACACACTAAGTTGTAGTGTAATATAAGCCCTTCATCACTAATTCCGTTACCCTTTAGAATGTAAAATAGTTCCAGAAGTCTTTTTAGTTCTAGAATGTTCTATTCCACATATTGACTCTTTTAATACATAAATAGTAATTCATAGAATTAGAATGCAGTCTAAAGCTCACATGCAGGAAAACTTGAAACAGATAAGTAAACATAATTGTAAACAGCCCTAGACTATGCAAGGGGGCTGGTGGGAGGAGGCAGAAACGTGGTGAGCTCACAGCAGGATGGCCCGAGCCTGTGGCTTGCTCTCAACTCTAAAGAAGATCTTCAATTTGGAAAAGTCATCCTTTGAAGGAGGCTGGCCGGACACATTCTGTTTTGTCTTATGGGTTAAGACCTATCACAGTGTAGAACGATAAATGTTGAAGTCTAGGGGATAAAGTGCTAATGGGATAGCTATAAAGAAGAGCTCAGTCAATATTCTCTTTGTAATATCACACTTTACAGGTGCTTGGTGTGCATATATAGAGAAATAGGTACTAAATTGGCCATCTACCTGGAATATATGTAAAATGACAGGAGTAAAGTAGTTCCTATTACCAGAATTGATTGAATTCCATTATGTTTTAATGCTTCCTAATTTAAAGTTCTAAAACATGGAATACATCTTCTCAGAGACCCCTGACAGAGACATCTGCTGCCCATGGAACAATATTAAACACCCATCAGCTTAAAGCCTTAAAGCCATCGTTTCACATTTTATAAACTTGTCATCGCAGAATACACGTTGAACGTCTGTAATCTGGAGATGTCCGTGAGAGTTTTCACTAACTTTGTGACAATATTGCATCCAGGCAGTTTCCCAATGTCTGTACAATGGGGTTTTAGAGGTCTTGTAGTTTGAATCCAAATCACCAGAACACACGCTGGTTTTTAATATCTTCTTAACTGCACCTTGCTTAGGCTGCCATTAAATCATTGTATGGCCCCAAAGCTTGCCGAGTGAAAGGGCTAAGGACACTTGGAATTAAGCCTGGGAAATTAAATTACAGGTAATTGAGAACTGACCATTTATAACACACTTTTAAGTCCATCATGAGCAGCATTCTCTATGAATTTTATGCAAGCGGCTGCAGCTTCCTCAATGGATTTTGACCAGCCACCAATATTGCCAGCAAAGTAAGGGAGGATGCTGTCTGACATCTGATTCAGGTACGCTACCTGTGTCAAAGAGAAAACACAGCATGTTGAGTTTCTATTGACTGCAGAGTTTTCACTCAAGAAACTGCAACTGTTGGTGAATGGCTCTGGAAGCAGGGACCAAAGGGATCTTTTTTAGTGAGGACACACATTACAAGACTATGATTAATTAGGAGATCTAATTAATGATTAGGGGAATGAAGAGGTTTTCCCACATCTGTGAGAATGACTTAAGGTACAAATATTTCAACAAACATACAGTGCATGAACTGCTGTCCACAGCCTGGATGAGGAACCCAGCACATATGACCTCGCTTCTGATGTACTGTGGGTATGGCGGGACGGACGACAGGGAAACAGACTTCACTGCTACAGCGTAAGTGTTGCTGAAACGTAAGAGCACATGTTGTTAGGATTCTGCCACGCCTCCGCTATATGGCCGCACACATGCGCAGTTCAGTGGCTAAGTAAGGGGCCTTACATCTTACGTCATCCGTGCGCTGCACAGGCAATCTGCGCATGTGTGGCATAAGTCCGTAAGCCCACCTGCGCATGTGCAGGGGCATCCTTAAAAAGCCTGTCACAGGCTCCTCCCCTCTCTTCTGCTCTCTCCTCCTCCCCGCCCCCTCTCTCCCTACACACATCTTTCACAGGCCTGGTCACTCTCTTCTGCGCCCCAATAAAGCTCTGATACTGGGTTTTGTCATGTCTTGTGACCTTTCTCGCACAGTAACAAGTGCCGCATTTAAAAACCAACACATGTTCTAACTCCATGTCAGAATAGTTGCTAGACAGAAAATTTCTCAACAAATTTATACTGGCATTTATGAATTTGGTTTTGTGGTTCTAGGGGTTAAATTCAGGGCTTACTCCATGCTAGACAAGTTCTCCAACACTGACCATCCCCAGCCCATGAGGCAATGTCATTGTCTTGGCTGGAGTGAGCTCTGAAAAACGAGACTCCTCTGGATGAATGGTTCAGGTTAACAAACCAACCAACCAACAAAAACCTTCTCTATAGTGACCTTCAAACTCAGGGAATAAGGTAACTTCACAAGGCACAAGCCTGGAAACACTGAAGTTTTAGTGTGCCCTAAAGGGTTATGATTTCAGTTTCCTGGCATTTTTCAATTAAGAAAACCAATATTCAAACAATAAAGAATGCAATCGACTACAAAATAAAAGTGGCCCTCCAGTCTGCTCTAGCTGTAATCCTGTTCTGTCACATGAGTGACTATTCTCACCTTTCACACGCACTCTCTAGATTTTATTACTGTTCCAAGCAGCAGCGTTAGCAAACACACATGTAGGTTTTTATACAAATACAGTCACTTTGCAAATACAGCCCACAACTTGATTTTCCACCTAACAATAAATATTTAGAGATATGTTTTTATATTATTTGTTCCCCCATATAACCACTTTCCCCTCCTTGGAGGTGGCTCACCACTCTGCATTTCGAATTTATCCTAATTTATCAGATAGACATCAATTTGTTTGCCATATCCTTTGACAGGATAGAAGATGCTACAGTGAACACTGATGGACGTTAGCCCACACGTGTAGGGAGTTATTTGGGACATGGCTCTTTCAATTCCAGGCTCTGTGTGGTCCAGTGTGCATGGGAAGGCCATGTTCAAACTCTGGCCCGTGGCCCTAGCACACAGTAAGCCAGTTTGGATGGCTAACACAGAACGGCCTTTGTGAATTCTAAGTCAATTTCTGATGTTTTCATTCCTCTTGCTGAGTTTACTGATAGCTAGAAGTCTCGAAGTCTTTTCAAATATTCATTTTAGTCTACATAGAGCAGAAGGGGCTGCTTTAGAGTGCTTGTGGGTCCTTTGCACACAGCTGGCAATGCATGGATGCATTTTTTAAACAGTAACTAAAGATTCACATATTTTGAAAAACTGTCTGATGTTATGTATGGATGAATATGAGGAAAGACTAGAAATGTCCGCGATGGCTTGGTTGTTTCCAGAGCCCTTCATTTCTAGTCTCAGGCAGACAGTACTGGGGCACCACAGGAGCTGCGTGTACTCACTCATCTTGGAGAGGCTTTCTCCGTGACACAAGTACGACGAAGTCTTTGGGTTTGTCTCCATTTACCACAGAACAGGTGATGTGATATATCAGATCATCCTCACTCACCTGGTCTATGACTTCACAGGATCTGTGTGAACAGAACAGTATTCAAAGACATGCTTCCTGGCCGCTAGAATGAGCCATTCGCTTCCCTTATTTATTGGCCTGATCTCCTTCGTGACATCTGTATTCACTTGTTGTGATCGCTCCCCCCCCGCCGTCCCCACCCCTGCTTATAGGCTGACTTTGGATAGAGCTGTTTGTTCAGGAGGGGTAATTTTACATGCGATGGGAAGACATCAGCTGTCTGGCTCCAAGGTCACCTCCCTCAAAACTGCAGAGGAAAGCAATAAGCTTTTCACAAAATTATCTTTTTCTAGGATCAAATAAATCATTTTGAAGATGAGTGAGATATATGGCTGGTCCTAGCGCTCAAGAGATGTAGTATGCTGGGAAGAACACTAACTTTTGATGCTAAACCACTTGCTTTTGATTTTCAGACTGCTGCTTCCTGGCCATACTATGTTAGACACATCATTTTTATTATTTCATCTCTAAAATGTGGATAATAGTCTCTAGGGAGTTTCTAGGGGGTTATTGTGAGAGTTAAATGCAAACACTTGATGAAGATCCTGATTCTTAAGTAGGAATACAAGAGAAGTTGGTTGAATTGAAATGAGTTCACTGGGTTCTCCATTCATTCATGTTCAATTTCAATGGAATGCCAAGTCAAGTAGAATTGTGGCAGAAACATTTAGAATAACTTGTTGAAAGACGAGGTGTCTTTGAGATGCTGCAGTGTTCTGTAGCTTTGGAGGCTAAGCCTGAGTGGAACCTGTCACTACAGGGTAGCCGACAAGGCTCACAGCTCTACAGTCATCCCTAGACTTGTGGCAACACCAAAACTTTTGATGCTCAAGTCCCTTATGTACAATGACATAGTATTTTCATGATAACATTTGCACATCCTTCAGTGTGCTCTAAAACATCTCCAGACCACTTATACAAAGTAAATGGCATGTTGATAGTTGCTATACTATTTAAAGGAAGAAGTAAAAGAAATATGTACATGTTTGATGCTGTGCACAAACCCCCCCCCCCCCACATACACACACACATGCACAAACACACATTTTTTATCCAAAGTGTTTAAATACGGAGATTGGGACTTATGGATGGTTATGACCAATCATATTCCAGCAAAGCTGGAATGGAAGAGACAGCTCCAGGAATGCTGAGACAGAAAGTGGCAGGAGAGAAGTGGATGGATGGAAGCAGGGCGTGACCAGATCATCAAGAGAGAATCAAGAGAGAGCAGCAGGCAGAGTTTTTCTCTGGGACTCACTGCTAGCTTTTCACTAAGACTCGTGGCTTCACAGGAAAAGAGCTCTGGGAAGACACTGAATACCTCCTCCAGAGCCATGAGGCTGTGTAGCAAAGAAAAAAGGGTGTATGCTCCAGAGCCTGGCCAAGCTGGATTCCAAAGCAGGCCCTGACACGACTGTCAGTGCAGCCTTGCCCCGACTCAGAAACAGGAACAGCATCAGCTTTGAATTTGTCAGGAGTATTGGAGTAGATGTGGGGCCACATGTGCCAACTCAATACAGACGACAAACGGATGGGGGTAATGATGATGTTTTGCATGTCAGTGTCACCTGACGCAGACGCTTGGACAAAGCAAGCTCTAGAACTTCTCTAAATTCCTGAAATAATATATCATGCATTGGGCCATGGAGATGAAGTACAACTGAGGTTATCCTTCCCACAATGTCAGGCTGGACTAAGAAAAAACATTTAAGTTTGTTCTCACATGTAATGGGGGTCCCACAAAGGTCGCGTTGTGAAGTCGGACAAGAGATGATAAGCCGTGTGTGCTGGACTGCCAACACGCTTTTCAACCTTAACAGATATGGCATCTTGTTCTTCCAGGGTATATATTTTGATCTAAAAGATATGAAGAAAAATTAAATTACAAGAGAGAACAATATTTTTTGCTTTCAGAGACACTCACATACACACACATGCTGCTGTCCTAAGTGCCTGCACCAGTTAAGGCATCTATCAGTGGAAGCCAAACAACAACTTCACCTCAGTCCTGGATGCCCAGAAGCTGAGCAGGATGCTAGTTCTGTGCCATCCACATAGTATGGGGGTGAGTTCATTTGTATCATTTTTTTATGAAAAATAAAGAACAAAAGCTAGTCTATCTTGATCTCTGTGATATTTCCTGCCTCCGAACACTAAAGATAGAGAATGTCACCACAGTGCTAGACAGACCAGTACCTCCTCTACCCTAAGGCTTTAGAGACAAGATTGTGAATTACACCACTCTCTCAGGATGTCAGGCATGTCTTGAGTAGTGTAAAGGTACCCAGGAAACAAGCCAACTGTCTCTAGGACAAACTCAATTTCTCAAAAGGACCCCGGGAACACACTTCTTCCCCACAAGTATTCTTGACTTTCTGATTCCCAAGGCCAGTTTCTAATATATAGTATCTGTGAGATAAGCAGGAGCCATTTGACATATACTTAAACACTAATATCATTTCTGTGGCTTTGAGCTTTCTTCCAACTTTTTTTTTTTAAATTATCAGATCTATGTGTTCAGCTAAGAGCACATTTCTATTCTGCTCATTTTCTCCATCTCTCTCAGGGTGTTTTGAAGTTAGTGTTGAAATTTTCCATCTTATAATCATTCCCATGGCAACCAGCTGGGAGAAGACAAACAGACACAAGGTTAGGACTTCAACCACAGGAATTGGGCAGATGGAAAGAAATCGAGCTGTGAAGAACTGACCTTTATTGAAGCCTATATCTGTACCTAATATCGTCCTCACTATGAGAATGAAGGAATGAGAAATAAACTACAGGAAGCTTAGGCAGGAAACAAACAGGTGACTACTCGCTTATGTAAAAGTGCATCCCTTCCAGGCCATGGGTGTCTTCAATTCCAGCCTGCAAAGAAAGGCCTGGCCTAGACTGTGAGCATTCATCAGATACAAACAAGTCCAGGTGGAGCCCCGCATGGCTGCTGACAGCACAGAAGCCAAAGGAAATCCACTGGTGAAAATCCACAGAGAAGCGTGGTGGCCAGGCATCTCTAGGCCTGGCTACCGGCGTGCTGCAGAATCAGTGGAGCTGGTCACATGCTTGCTTTGGGACTGTCATGGTCTCCTTTGGTGAATCAGGGGGTGGTGGTGAGAGAACATTGGGCTGAACACTTGCTAAGAGTTGAATCATGGTCCCCTCCTGCCCACACTTCTATGGTAGAGCCCTAATCTCTTGTACCTTGAAAGGTGACTTTATATGGAAATGGGGTCTTTGCCAATATGCTTCATTAGAATGAGGTCATATTGCAGAAAGGTGGGCCCAATATGACTGATGTCTTTATAGAAAAGGAAAGCTGGACACAGACATGCACATGGGGAGCACACTGTGTGGAGATGAAGGCAGAGATTGGGTGATGCATCTATAAGCCAAGACTCAGTAGGCTGACTAGAACAGTCTAGAAGCCAGGCGAGAGGTGAGGCACTAATGGTCTCTTCTAACAAGCAACCAGCCAGCCTCCACTTGATCTCAGAACACCCCCTTTCAGAAGAGAGAACCCATAGATTCCTATTGTTCAAGTGACCCAGTGAGTGGTCCTCTCTTGTGACAGACTTAGGAAATTAAACCAGTAGTTTTCCAGTAAGCTTTTCTCCAGCTTCCAGATGTATTTTTATCCATGAGCCAAAAGGAGTAGCCACCATTAAATTTTACCTTCACAGATGGAACTCACTGACTTATCCATAGTAGATGAGTAAATGGCATCTATTCCTTCCCTGAGAAGGCAAAGGGAGCAGGAAGTCCTTCTTATTATCCTGCTACCTGAACCAATGTCATGGATGCAAAAGAGACAAAGAAAGGCAGTGGTCCATTTTGGCTCTCTTTAGATTTGCCAGAGAAAAGCCACTGTGGAGTTGAATGAGATGCCCCACACAAGTCTCTGGCATTTGAATCCTTGGTCTTCAGTTGGCGGCTGTTTGGGAAGGATTAGGAGGTGTGGTCTTGTTGAAGATGGTGTGTCACTGGGGGTGGGCTTGTGGTGGTGGGTCCGTGCCATTTCCAGGGTGTTTTCTCTGCCTTCTGCTTAAGGTTGCTCTGTGAACTCTCTGCTGTTCCTACCACCCATCTTGGACTCTAACCCTCTGGAACGTAAGCCTAATGGGACATTTTCTTTTATAAGTTGCCTCAGTCATGGTCATGGCGTCTTGTCACAGTAGGAGGACAGTAACCAATCCAGTTTTGGCTCCATGGAAAGATTCTCCAAGAAGCTACCCAAGATAATGGCTTTGCTTTGCTCATGGGGATGGAAGTAGACAGGATTCATAACCAATTCCGGTGTCTGGTGAGATTGCACAGTTTATTCTCTGAAATGAAGCTTAACACAAATAGCTCCAGACTCGCTGAAGCAAGTCTGCGCAGACTCCATTAGTGGAACTGCTTTCATCATAATAACGCTCTGCTCCGATCTCTGCTTGGATGTCAACTAGTATTCCAATAAACATTTTAGACTTTTTGTACCAATTGGTAAATATGTTATTGAGATTACATTATAGACAGGAAGAGGAAATTACTTTTTTTGAGACAACATTTCACTGTGTAACAGCCCTGGCTATCCTGGGAACTCACTCTGTAGACCAGGCTGGCCCGGAAGTCACAGAGATCTGCCTGGCTCTGCCTCCTGAGTGCTGAGAATAAAGGCGTGAGCCACCACTGCCCAGCAGAAACTACTTTCTGTAGAGGCCTAGGGGCACCAGGGGATTACCACAGATGACAAGGGCTGGGGATGGGCAGGTGGCACTCTGGGCCTCGTTTGTCTCCTTCAGCTTTTCTGAGACTAGATCCCCTCTGGTCAGCTGTCTATACCAGGGCTCTTTCCCAGAGAGGACTTTTGGGCAATCTATGCCATTTTTGTTTTCACCATTTTTTGGGCACACTCTCAGACTTCAGATACTCCTTAAACTAGCCATGCCTGTCAGGCCAGGCCCCCCGTGGTAATTTAGCCCCTGGAGGACTCTGGAGGTGTTCAAGCTGAGCGCTGCCCAGAGAGCTCTCTTCATCTTCCCTCATGACACTACCTCCAAGAGGTGAGAATCGCACCTTTGGGGGCTCTTTGGTTGCTGTGTCCGTCTGTACCTTAACCTGCCTAAGTTAGAACTGGCCTCTCTCTATAGGTGAAACAATACACTATCTCCCTCGTTTGCGAACTTCCTTATATTATTCTTGAGCAGTTTCATGTGCGTGTATGCCATTTCTAGTTTTGCCTTTGGCTTCTTGTATTACTTTTAGTTATTTCTACCCCTAAATATAGAAAGTCAAATATGCATTAAAACCTTAAGTATGGTCCAATTTTATTATAAATATAAGACTTCAAATCCAATTACATTGAAAATAAGAATCAAAAATTGGCTGTGGTACACACTGGTGATCCAAGCTCTTGGGAGGGAAATGTAGTTCAAGGCCAGCTACAGAGTAAGACGGCTGGGGTGGGGGTGGGTAAAACCTGTTGGTGATGATGCTCAGAAGCCAGCAAGAAAAAAAAAAGTGAGAGACAGATTTCATTTCCAGAAAAGGAAAGAAGTATGGAAGCTCCTTTTATGAGCAATAGTGAGAAACCAATGCTTGAGTTATTAAACCTGTTCCCGCATCACTGAGCCCAGTAGACCTGGGAAGCTCGCTGGATCTACAGGGCATAAGGAAGACCCTGGAAAGAGTCAACAGGGTGGACAAGGAAATAACCAAAACAAACAACAAAAAGGGAGAAGAAGAAGAAGAAGAAGGCAATGTGAGAACTGGATACGACAAGGGAAACAGCCTTGAAGTTCCCCAGAGTCCAAGGTGAGAGGGTTGTTTGAGTCTGATCCACGCTGACACTGAGGTGTGGCTGAAGTTGCCAACCTGGACTGTTCCAGGACTGTCTGGACACTTGACGACCTGTTTTCTGGGGTAGTGTTTCACTGACAGTGAGCAACAGTCCACAACAGACATACCCCAAAGCTGGCAACCCCGATTATCTTCCAAGGGTCAGACACTACCATCTACCATGGTCTGAGAATACAGTGGTTGAGCACAATGTCCCCTAGAGCTTAGAGTCTAGTGAATGTGAGCATTGGCTTCCAAGAGTCCTCCAACATCCTAAAATTAAGGCCCAAATGATGTACACTTATTTCAACTGGATAATATGCCAAAATTGTATGCTAAGAGAGATACAAAGAAATCGTATCCTTCTTAAAAGAATGACTTCCTTCTTAAAAGGTTTATTATCTGTTTGGGAAAAAAACATAATTGAAAACCTAAATTGCAATGTAAGGTTTAAATATCAACTCACAGCAACTGTGGATGAAGCATCATCACAAGACAGAATAGAATTCAAAGACAAATTAGTTTTAAAGACAAATCCGTTTCGGAGATGTCACAATGAAATGAGCTACTAGAGAGAGAAGTGCATTACGTCAAAACAGAACTTATGGAGAAGTATTGGTCCTGGATCATCAAGACCATCAGGTTGGGGTGGATGGAGATGTAGAAAAGGGAGTGAGAGGTAAAAGGTGGAATGTGAAAACCGAGGCCTGCCAGGAGGCAGAGGTGTGGGGTACAGATGAGCAGTGCTCTAAGTCATCCAGCAGGGAGGCCCAGGGCTAGAAGGAAGTCCACCTCTTGACAATAGTTGCCCCTTGAGCAAAGCAGCGGATTGGCCTGACAATCATGATAACCGTGCTGGCTTTAATCTGCTATGGGCAGCAACAGCATAAACATTGGGCACTTACCTTCTCCAAGGTGGTGGTAATCTCCCAACCGCTTTTGGATGCCAAATTTTTGAGAGCTTCCACATTGGCATTACTTAGGGATCCCTAAAACGCACACACACAAAAAAATTTAAAGCTATGTGTTCAATATACAGGCTTGGGAGCCATCGTTTTCTGCTTCCACCATGGCCAGTGTTGGAGGACGCGTCTATTGAGCCAAAGTGATAATGCTGAGCTCAAACTAAACTATCTACTGCTACTATCTAACTTCTAGCTCAAAGTCCAGACAAGGTAACTACGTGCTCATCAGATGTGTATGCTTTGAGTTGGTATCCTGAGCCAAGACAGATGCCCTTCCGTGTGACTTATAACAATGTGTGTGATAAGTAAACTTGGATCCTGCATTAGATTTCACAGTCAAAAATGTTTAAATTACTAATCCTTCTTTTCAAAAAAGTGTTTATTTTTATTTTATATATATGGATATTTTGCCTGCATGTATGTCTGTGCGCCACATGTGTGCAGTGCCTATGAGGGACAGAAGAGGGCGTCAGAGCTCCCGGAACTGGAGTTACAAATGGTTGTGAGCCTCTGAGTGGATGTGGGAATTGAACCTGGGTCCTCTGGAAGAGTTTCCAGTGCTCTTAACCACTGAACCATCTCCCTTGACATAACTAATCCTTGCTCTATAAAAGTTCAAGTTGATAAGCATGCCAATCATTGTAAATCAAGGCAAGACACCAGATTGAGACATCCCATGCCAGCTGGTGTCATAACATCTTGGGGGCAGAATTGGGAAGCTGTTCACAGAGTTCAAATCTGACAGTAAGATAACCAGTGGCATCGTTTAGAAATGGAGGGTTATACAGTTCGCCTTGTTACCTAACCCATGTAGGTACAACCTGGACCTGTTAAGCAAGGAGGGTTCCGCTTCTGTGATGGTGTGATGTTACATGAAGCATTCCAAATTGTCAAACCGTTACCTTTTTGCTTATATCCCATTGTGTGTTGAGTGGAACTTCTTTTTTGTGGGAAATAACATATTTCCTGGAAAAAATAAAATAAAATATTAAGTAACAATTTTTTTTCCTCTATGCTTAGTAAAGGACCAATGATCATTTCTTAATTTGAAGTTGTTTGTTTAAAAAAACATGCTCTTTGGTGGGGGAATCAGGAAGAACTATTTCCAGGCTGAACCATTTTTAACTTTTCAGAAACATTATGTCCCTTTTCTTCCCCATTATGTGGGAACAGGGACCCCAGGAGTGGCTAGTCAGATGGAGAAGAGCCCATGAAATCCTCACACTTTATGCCTTTTACCTGCCTAGGCGAATTCTTCTTCTTGCAATAGCTCCCTGATAACGTCGAACATCATCCTTTAAAAAAAGAGTACAACCAATCAGTTTCTAATATGTTGTCACTGCAATCCTTAAGTATCCTTCCCCTAGACTAACTGTGACTCTGCGTCTCTGTGATACTTCCTTGTGAGGTCTGAGCCTCTCGGCGACTTTGATGGCCATTCATTTCCTTTTCAAAGTGGAGATTTTTTTAATTTCTGCTACTAAAATCACACAGATTTAACTCGAGAATGTTTAGAGGGGGTGAGCATTAGCACTAAGTTGATTCCTGAATGAGAAAGACAGGTTTCCCATGAATGTGGTGCAGCATCCAGAGCCGGATGCCCTAGACATGATAGCAGATTCCAAAAGGAGACACAGAAAGCCATATGCTCCACAACAGCATCTATTGTAGAGAGAGGTACATCACCAGAGTGATGTTGGGGAAAAAAGAAAAGGAAAGAGCCCATTGTACTTGGTTAGGCATAGAAGAAAGCAAACCTCTTGGAGACAGTTGCCGGTGGGAAGCTACATGGAGCTCTGTGCCCACAGGTCACTGAAGCTTGCATGGTGACAACTGACCTTTGATATGGGTTGGATTCTGGGGAAGATGATGACCTCCTCCTGATCATCAACAGCATTGTAAATGAGAAAAGCGCTGTTGATGTGGCGGCCTCGGCCCTCAGCCCACTCCTGACAGTCAAAGGCCTCAACACGCACTCCAACTTCCACACTGCAAGGGGGATGCAGGGTGGTGGGCAAGGAGGACCGTGGCGTGGTCGGCCTCCCCTCCCACCAAGCAACAAGAGGACAAGGGCTCTGTTTTTCTCCTTGGATGTCAGCAAATCTGTACAACTGCTAAAATCAACTTTGGGGGTGCCTGAGTGAGTTTCCATTTTCCTTTCCCACTGAGACACACATCCATTGACGTATTTAGTTCATGGGGACCGTGAGTTAAATTGGGCTCAAAACACGTTTTCTTCCTTAAAAACAATAGTTCTATGGTTTAAAAGAATGAATGGCTGAAGTTTGGCAGAAATACAGATGGTTGGTGGTGGAGCATGCCTTTAATCCCAGCACTTAGGAGGCAGAAGCTGGCAGATCTCTGTGAGTTTGAGGCCAGCTTGAGCTACAGAGTGAGTTCCAGGAAAGGCTCCAAAGCTACACAGAGAAACTCTGTCTCAAAAAGCCAAAAAATAAAAAACAGAAACAAACAAACAAACCACCTTGTGAAACCTTTTCACTATGTACTGGGAATGACAGAAATAACTGTGATGTAGTCTGAGCTCACTGCCATAAGCAACAAGCCCATCATGGATGCTGAAAGGAAGAACCCATTCTGGTAGGATGGCAGGTACCAATTGGAACCATCCCGGGCCAGCTGGATGTCCCAACACTCTATGGGACAAAACAATTCATTACAATTCCCTGAGTGTGACGAGAACAGGGGCAGAACAGGAGTATGTGCCCATATGGAGTGAAGTTTAAAAACAATTGGACGGTATTGTGATGCAGCCCATACCCCTCATTTGAAAGGAAAGCGCTGTTTGTGCATTGCTGAGTCGGCACAAGGAGCATACTTTACCTGTTCTGAAACGTGTTGTTGACTATGGCATTGAAGACGAGGCGGTCCCCAACTGTGGATGGTCCCCGGAATTTAAACATGTCCACAGACTTCAGAAAGGGGTGCCCATGGCACAGGCGGCTAAGGAAACGAAGGGAAGAGAAAACCGGAGATGGACATCCTCCAGAGGAGTCTCAAGCACAACCGATTCATTGAATGGCTGCCCTAGGCAAGCAAGCAACCTGTTTTCTAAGCAGACAACTCCTTTGACTCAAGAGGACTATGTGTGGAGGGGATCTGAACACAACCTCCGACATTTGGGGGAACAAAGCGGGCATTTCCTGAGGATGGCGGCTCTTTGGCATTGGTCTGTCTTCTACGGAAGTCCCTCCACTTCCGAAAGCAAATCAACGCTTTTTGTTGTTCTTAGAGTGTCATACGCATCCTGACAGCTCCTGACAAAGGTCCCAGGACACTGGGACTTGTGGATTGGGGTAGGACAAGTGAGGACAACTGCCAGCCAATGTGGATCACACTTATTCCTCAGCCTCCCCAGTCACTGAGCTGACCCAGAGATTAAAAGCCAAACTTTCCCTTCATAGAACAAATATGCCCGGATTGGTGCACAGAGCAAGAAAGGCTACAGAACAGACATTTCACGGTTTTTTGCATAACTTATGAAAAGCCATGTTTCCTGGGCCCCCACCCCCAGACCATCACTGAGAACCTTGCAGAAATGGTTGCCACCGTCTCCATCCATGCCATAATCTGCCCGCCAAACGTGTTTCCATGATGGTTTGCGTGGGTTGGCAGGACAAGCTCAATGCTCTGAACGGAGGTGCCCGTGGTGGTAGCCGTCCCTTCTTCACCGTTGTAAACGGGGTCTGTGAGGTGACAGCAGAGACAGTGGGGTCAGCCACAGGACCCTTGCTGGACCTTCGCTTCCCTGCAGCAAACATAGCTCTCTTTCAGAAAAATGACGTCATCCTTAAAACCTTACATCAAGGATGTGAGTGGGTTCTGAAGAGTGGCCTTCCTCGGAAAAGCCGCTGCTTCCAGTGTTCTGGGTTGATAACAGACCAGGAGGGCCCTTTAAGAGACAGGTAACCTCTGGAGACCCACAGAGGTTTCCTAATGAGATCTGGGCTTGCTCTACCCAACAGGACCGCATAAAGTAATGATTTGACCACAGGCGCGTTTACCAAGGGTCTACACTTGGCTGTGTGGTATGCTTTGATCTAGCAGGGGAAGTCTTTTGCCCCACCCCTTGGCATTGTTATAAAAAGCGCTTTTGAAGAAACAGAAGGGGCTGGTGGATTTTGATTCAGGTCCTTTCAAAGCTGTCTTGTGTTTCTGTCTGTCTCCTCTCCACTATCTTTCTATCTAAAAGTTTCTTATTCCTCTCTCCTCCTCATAGGAACCCTTTAAAATGTGACAGCTGGCCTCCCACAGTAACCCAGCCGGCTTGGTGTTAATCCCAGCACTCAGGAGGTAGAAGGAGGCAGATCTCTGTGAGTTCAAGGCCAGCCTAGTATACAAAGCAAGTTCCAGGACCGCCAAGACTACACAGAGAAACCCTGTCTCAAACACACACACACACACACACACACACACACACACACACACACACACACACACACAGGAGAGAGAGAGAGAGAGAGAGAGAGAGAGAGAGAGAGAGAGAGAGAGAGAGAGAGAGAGAGGTCCCCTGCCTGTTAAGCAAATACACCAGAATTTTGATTAAAGTAATGGTTCCATTTAAACTGGAGCTTTCTGTGGTGGAAAAGGGCACAGAAGGGTCCAGATTTTGATGATGATATGCCAGTATTTTGATGATAGTGATAGTTTTACTGATGTGTACCAATGCACAAACTCAAGTTAGGTGCCTTAAATACAGACCATCGATCCTGTGTCAATGAACCCTCAATAAAGTCACTAAAATCAGGTATCTGGAGTGGGAGGGGCCACAGACACTATGTGGAACCCCATAAACTGGAGCGTGGGGATGTGGTCCCCTATGCACAGTCACAGGAGAAGAGATATTTGTATCACTGCCTTTCCCATGCCCTCTGTGCCTTAGGACTCAGATATTTCACTTATTAACAGGTTAGTTTTACTCTCAGCAATGGAGAAATTATTTGCTTTGGGTGCAAAGCAGTTATTACTTTGGTTCAGCCCTGCTGCCGGCATCACCCAGCAATTCGCATGCTGCTGTGGGGAGGAGATCTCCACATCCCAGGGACTGTGCTGGGTCAGCAGAGCTCAGCAGGCAGTGTGTTCATGTTCATATAAACCCAGCTGACATTAATAGGAAATAGGCCATTCCAGGAGCAGCTTTTTCTAGTTGACCAGAGTGTGGAACTAGGTCCCTTTAGCTCCACTTCCTAAAGAGATTTCTAGATTCACAACGAACTGATGATCTATATTTTTCATTTCCCCTTCCTTCTGTTGATCATGTTAGTCCTTTGCTGAGAATGTGGCAATGCTCCCATTGTTCTAGAAGAACTATCAAATCCTTCCCGTGACCTCCAAGCTCTCTGTCCGGGTCTAGCCTGCATGACTACCAAACCCACCAACCAGCCCCTCCCCTCTTTCTTGTGCACTATGGGCTGACTCATCCCTTACAGGCTTGAGGGCCAGTGGGCCCAAAACCATTAAAAAGATACTTTCTGAGAGCCAACCTGGGTCTGCCTAAGGGCCTTAGCAACAGCAGCTGAGACATGATCTGGAAATGACCTGGACCAATGAGAGACAGCCATGCCACACCAGCAGATGCATATTCATCAGACCGCCTCCCCACAGCATGGGGTGGAGGATATATAAGGCTTTCCTCTTCCTGAATAACTGAGCTTGCTGTTTCAACATTCTCCCAGAGTCTGTGCCTACTTATAATAATTCTCAGCCAGTTAAGAGACGAGATATCAATGGAGGTTCTCCCACAGGGAATGTTAAATAGCCCAACACTGTGCCAATATTTTGTATGACAGCTGCTGGAAGTAATCCATAAACAATTTCCTGAATCTATAATTTATAATTACACAGATGATATTTTACTAGCTGATTCAACGCAGATACCTTAGAAAGAATGTTTGAAGAAGTAAAGAGAATTCTGCCTTGTTGAGGATTACAAATTGCTCCTGAAAAGATCCAAAGAGGAGATTCTATTAACTATTTAGGATATAAAATAGGTCTACAAAAAAATTAGACCCCAAAAGGTGCAAATTAGGAGAGAGAGATTATGGACTCTTAATGACTTTCAAAGATTATTTGGAGATATTTCCCATCTATGGACTGTTGTTGGGGTAAAAAATGATGAACTGAGTAATTTGTTAAAAGCCTTAGAAGGTGACAAGGACTTAAATAGTCCAAGAGAATTATCAGCTGAAGCTGAGAGACAATTGGCCTTGGTGGAAAAGAAAGTACAGGAAGGATATGTGGATCGTGTGGATACAAAGATTGATTACATTTTGGTTATTTTATCCTCCAAGCATTCTCCTACAGGAATTTGAATGCAGAGGGAAGATATTACATTGGAATGGATATTTCTACCAAATAAAGAGAGTAAAAAATTAAAAATTTATGTGGAAAAGATCTCTGAGTTGATTTTAAAAGGAAAATTGAGATGTTGTCAATTAGCAGGAATAGACCCAGCAGAAATTGTTGTACCTTTCACTAAGGAGGACATTGACAAATTATGGGCAGAAAGTGAACCTTGGCAAAGAGCTTGCAGTAACTTTTTGGGAGAAATTAACAGCAAATATCCCAAAAGCGATAGAATTCAACTTATAAAGAGAGCTAATTGGCTCCTGCCTCACATTGTGTGGGAAACTTCAATATCTGGAGCCCGTACATTTTATACAGATGCAAACAAACAAGGAAAGGCAGGATAAAAATCAAAAAATTTAAGTAAAGTGGTTCAAAGTCCTTATAATTTGGTTCAAAAATTGGAATTATGTGCTATTTTGATGGTATTAATGGATTTTTTGGAACCTCTCAACATAGTTACTGACTCTTAGTATGCTGAAAGAGTGGTATTACATATTGAGATTGCAGAATATATCCCTGATGAGTCAGGGTTAACTTCGTTATTTATTCAGTTACAAGATATAATCAGGAAAAGGAGTCATCCTTTATATATAACTCAAATCTGATCCCATATAGGTCCATCTGCCAGGACCTCCAGCACAAGATAATGACAAGATTGATAAACTATTGATAGGAAATGTGCTGGAGGCCTCAGAATTTCATTAAAAAAAAAACATCATGTCAATAGAAAGGGTTTAAAAAGGGATTTTTTTTTCATAGCCTGGCAACAAGCCAAGAAAATTATAAGAAACTGTCCTCCTTGTTCCTTTTACAACCAGACTCCACTACCAGCAGTATGTAACCCAAAGGGTACTCAGAGGAATGAAATCTGGCAGATGGATGTGTTTCACTTTGAAGAATTTAGAAAATTGAAATATGTACACCACACCATTGACATATATTCAGGATTTCAGTGGGCAAATGCTCTGAGTTCTGAAAAGACTGATTCTGTAATCACTCATTTGCTAGAAGTTATGGTCATCATGGGTCACATGCACAAATTAAAATTGACAATGCTCCAGCATATGTCTCTGGTAAAATGAAACAGTTTTTTGCTTATTACACTATAAAGCATATTACAGGTACACCACACAATCCTATAGGCCAAGCAGTCATAGAAAGATCAAATAGAAATCTAAAGGATGTGCTAAATAAACAGAAAGGGGTAACAACCCCCCCCACAGAAATAGACTCCATAATGCTCTATTAACTTTGAATTTTCTCAATGCTAATGAGAAAGGAACAACAGCTGCGGAGAGACATTGGATAATAGAAAAAACTACAGAATTAAATCAGCCTATATACTTTAAGGATGTGCTGACCTCAGAATGAAAACCAAGATATGTGTTACGCTGGGGACAAGGTTTTGCTTTTGTTTCTCCAGGAGAAGATAAGCTATGGATATCATCAAAATTGATAAAGGTTCGATTTGAACAAGAGAGACCTCTTAATTAGAAGAGGTGATAGTTCATCAACCAGTATGACCATCCAATTTAGATTAACTTATATCACTAACAAATGCTTTTCATTTAGTCAGATATAACTTGCCAAAAGGGAACCTCCCCAAGAAGGTTTTTTGTTTTTGTTTTTCAGGAGAATGAAGGCTAAAGAATCTGAAGAACACTGGACAAATGAAACATCTGAAGAAAAAGGACAAATTATTCAGAAAAAAATGTCCCAAGAAAAGAAGTAAATTAACCTCTTGGTTTATCACATATAAAATTTCATAAGTCTTCCTAAATGTTTGTTTCTGCTGTTCTCTACAGACACTTAATATAAATGGTCTTTATGTAGTCCCAGTTCAATTAAAAATTAAAGCTAGCTTTGGAGTTGGAGAATTTCTCTCTCCTTCTCTAAACCAAAGCATGCTTGTTAAAAGAAAATGTAAAATCTCTGTATCATGTCATAAGAGCCATCTGATATGGGACAGAAGAAAACCAAAATTAAGGGACTATTCTATTGCCACTAATCTCATAATTCTTTGGATTTATTTTGACTCTTTAAAATTTTTCTTAAGGTATGCATTTTATATCAAAATTTATAAGATTAACATATATATATTTTAACTTTTGTCATGGTATTAATGGACATATAGAGTACTAACTAGTTCTAGAAAAAAGGCTTCATCTAGCTGCCTGTACATGTTTTTGTGTTTGAGTCTCTATCAGTTTTCTGCAGGGAATTATGACCACACCTAACAACAAACCTAACGTCTCCAAAAAGATAATGTGGTACCACAATGATGATTACATCGGGACAATAATAATACCACTAAGCTGACAAACACCACCCAAAGATC